CCTAAACTTAACACTACCTTACTAACTATTAATAAGCAGCAAATTAGGATTTTATTGAGGTAAAAGTTGTAGTTAATGGTTTGTTAATAGCGAGAATTGGACCTTAAAATAAAGTGTGACCAATGTCTCTTCACTTGAATAGCTCATCTAGTTGGGCACAGCTTTGGGCTTTTGACACTGCTGAGGCTGCCATGTCAACAGAGGGGTGAGACAAGATACCATAGCCAAGCAGCTAAGCCAAGAGTTTAGCTGGCTGACTGAGCCAGATTGTGTGTATGTGTGTGTGTTTGTTGTGTGATCTCCCCGGAGGTACATCTGCTCCATGGTGAGAGGACACAGTGGAACATTTATCATAGCTTTGAGGAGAAAACAACGTCACACACACACACACACAAACACCTCCCAAGTGCTGGTCACAAACTGTCTCGGAGTCACAAACACAGATGGAGAGAAACGGAGGTCGCTGTGAGATTAGAGTTAGACAGGGATGGGTGTTGGAGGGAGATCTAAATGTCTTCCATCCTCAGAGAGATGCATCCAGGTACCACATTGTGTCCATGAACAACTTGGCCAGTGCACCCTGACAGCCAACCATATGCCTGGAATAAATCTCTCTGGCAATCAGGACTCACTGGTGAGACGTATCAAATGTTATCAACTGAGACAAGTGGCACAAATTATGCTCAATCCTTTAATCACTGAGATTGATGTTTAAAGCCAGGGTTTAATCGTAATATCCAACCCAACTTCTCCTCCCGTATGTACAATTGTACTGATTGTGAAATGCATAAATATCAATAGAAATAGAACTGCAGCAATAAGGCCAATTGCATCTGTGCCTCCTCTGTTAAAAGGTCTGATATATGCCAAAATGTTTATTTTGTAGCATAATTCTATTCATATGAAATTATTAAGGTTAAAACAATTAGACATGACCTATGTCCTTAAAGGGATAGTTCACTCAAAAAAATGAAAATCATGCCATTTTAAATCTGTATGACTTTTTCTTCTGTGGAACATTAAAAGAAGATATTTTGAAAAATGTTTCAGTGTTGTTGTTGTTTTATCAATACAATGTAAGTCAAAACTGTTACCAACTGGTTACCAACATTTTTCAAAATATCTTCTTTAGTGTTCCACGGAAGAAAAAAAACGGCATACATTAATTTTGGAACCAAATGAGGGTGAGTAAATGATGACAGAATTTTCATTTTTCTATCTTTTATGCTATTTTCTATCCATTTAAGATGTTGAATGGACTGAACTCACAGCCTTGCTTTCATTTGCATCAAATTGACTATGCCATCTACCTGGACTGAGTTTTATTGCAACTGTTTAAACACTGAATGTTAAAAATAACATTGTTTCATTTCCATTGCTTTATAGATTATTTCTTAACATTCTACCCTTTAAAGTACAAACCCCAAACCCCAGAAAGATGTAGAAAATGCATTTCAGCAGGCCTCTCCCTATAAAAATGACCCAGATGCTCAATCCATCCCCTCAGAGGGACTGTTTGTGTGAAGCTGAGGAAATTTAATTGAGGCTCAGTGGGTTTAATTGAGTCAGGGAAAAGTTAAAGCCTGGATTGATTGTTAAGTTTGATGGTAGCTCACTAAATGTCACCAGGCTTTGTCGTTGTGGTGACGATTAATTTGTTTGTCTGAGAGAGGGTTAACAAATCTGATCTTGAAGAGATGGGAGTTAAACAGGTAGCGCTGAAAGCTATGAGGGATAGTGTATTGTTTTGAACCGCTAACACTACTGACTATATTTTCTCATTTATAGCTTCAGTTGTTCCACCAAGATTGTCGAGGGTCTCCAAAGAATCTGTTTCAGGTGTTGGAAGAAAAACACCCACTGTAGATATTTTTTTTTTCTAAGTAAAAATTTGCCTCAGCATCTCTACGGGTGCCGGAATTTGTGAATATGCTCTCATAGGGAAGGTTTCAGCGTGCTGTCAGACCTAAAAACAACAGGAATCCCAACAGGTACAGAAGATTTTAGCCCCCTTTTGTTGAAGTTGACTCATTCTTGTCTCTGCATGTGGAACGGCAGGGGGGTGGAGAAGAAAAAACACTCCCGCTAAGCCCCTAACAAGCTTTCAGGTTGTCGGGGTTTAGAATGTTTTGGAACTCTTTGTTTCAGGTGAAGCATGCGGTGCCGTGCATGTATTTCAGCTTCAGATCAATGGTGAAGAGATGATGGGAACAAGAATCTCCTAGGGGTGCCACATAATGGTACAATGAGAGATTTGATCCCACAGAGTGGCCAGTGCTTTAGATAATAAGAAGGACAATCATTTTGCTGATTTGTGTGTTGAGTGTGTATGCAAAGAATTATGAGTTGCCACATATGCCATTACAACTGCAAAATCACAATTAGACAAGTAAATGGTTTGAAAACGTGTACTGATTGAAATGTTGGAACATTTTAATATATTCTATTACTTTACACATTAAATCACAGATCCTAGATGGGTGAGTAATGAATGTGAGACACAGTGTCTAGAGACCCCTTTTTTTTTAATATTCACTTCTTTTGCCTTGTCAAAAGATACAAAAGGTAAGCTTTGTGAATGGCCCATAAGACAGAAGTATTGAGAAAGAAAGAAAGAAAGAAAGAAAGAAAGGGAAGGGCTGACATCACTGAACCGCTATCACAGCACAACCACTATCTCCACGCAGAGCATCTAATCACCACCAGCAGGTATAGACATTTCTCTCAAAGTCCCAATACAATAAAACTATTTTACTGTAACCACTGGCTATTCTAGTGTCTGGGCAAAAATTTTACAGTCCATCTTTCCCTTAGCTCACCCTCTCCATCCTATTCTATCACATTTTTCACAGCTATTACTTTTGCTTTATGTCCTGAGATGTGTAACTCATCTCTGGAAAATATTCTTCGACTGAAGCAAGCATTAACTTCTGTGAGGAGTAAAGAATAACGGGCTACAGATACAGTGGCCCCAAGGAGGAATTACGGTCCTGCGAGACCCCCAGGGCACCAGCTGCTTGGAGGCACCCCATCAAAAACAAATAATTAAACTCACTCACACACACACACCTTGGGATGGGTGTAAGCATTATTTAAAAGGGTGTGCAGTATGAGAACTCATTTATTTATTTTAACAATATTTTGACACATTCAAGTGCTGTTTGCTATATCACTTTTACATTTGCTGTGCCTTATTTTCAGTGTCAGGTCACTGTAGGCATCTCAACTTGAAGCTCCTGCAGGCAAGAATCCATACTTGAGTGACCCAAACTAACAAAAACTTTAAATGTCATATTTCAAGGATACTTGTTCATGCATAATAGAATAGGCCTTAAAGAAAATAACTTTTGCAATGCTCAAAAAACAAATTAAGCATTTTTTGCATCATGCTAATTCATTTGGAATGCATTAAAAAAGGCATTTGCATTTTTCTACATAAAGCCACTATGTTTGCACAAACATAAAATGTAACCTCAGAAAATAGATAAAGCCACTGCACAGTGTCTGTACATAGTACAAGAACACCAGCCCTGTGCTATTGAATTTAGAAAAGAGATTCAGTACCATATGCTGCTGCATTCTCTACTGGTATTGTAAATACTACTTCTACAAGAGGAATGTAGTAGAGCTAATGGCAAGCTTGATGCTGATGCTATTTAAAATGTGCCTACTACTTAACATCCACTCTGGCCTTTTCTGTATTACAGACTTATTCAATGGAGATGACTTTATGAGTCACAAAAGTTTAGTGATTTAGGCCTAACAGTAGGTTAATAAGAGCAGGCGTTTTGTTATTTGTCACACACACACACACACACAGAGAGAGAGAGAGAGCGAGCGATAGATAGATAGATAGATTGTATGCATACTGTGTGTGTGTGTGTGTACTGGTATATATGGTTTATGAGGACACAAATGTGTATAATGACATGGGTACTACAACGTAAACATGGTTTATGAGGACACTTCCTGTGTTCCCGTAAAACAAAAGGCTTAAAAAACATACAAAACGGTGTTTTATGAAATTCAAAAATTGCCAGTAGTTTTCTGTAAGGGGTAGGTTTAGGTGTAGGGTTGGTGTAGGGCAATAGAAAATACTGTTTGTACAGTATAAAAACCATTACGCCTATGGAGAGTCCCCGTAAGCCGCCGTGTGT